ATATTAATTTCCTATCACAATCCATTTCCTTTATATAAACAGTTGATCTTATTTGATCAGTTGATTAAATAAACTTCTAATCAATTTAATTTATAAAATAAATGGACCTGTTATGATAGTTAAAAAAATGTTAATAATTTAGAAGAACATATATATAATTCTTAACTAATATAAAGCAGCAATAATTATTAATGTAATGATTTAACAAATTAGTATATCCATATAAGTTCGATTAGGATAATTTGAGTTTATTAGTCCAAAACATTTTTGCTATTTTAGTGAAGGATTCCTATTGCATCAAGAATAGTAGAAGAAATATCTAAACATTTTTATTAATTTATTTATTAATAATTGTATACCGATGTTGATTTATTATTTTAAATTTGATAAATATTTTATCTCAAATGTCATAAATGGAATCAATTTTGCGTGGAGGTGGCTGTGGAACTTCAAAAATACACCCGTTATAATCAGGAATCTCAAAGATGGATAATTAAGAACTTCAAAATTTCTTTAATAAATTCAACTTTTATGTTGAGAAAATTTGCACTAAGGCTGTTGTTGCTGCTGATTAGTCAGAATCTTAAGAAATAATGATAGCTCTTTAGTGGTTTAATTTTTAAGAAGAAAATATTTACAATCTCAACTAAAATGCTGAAAGTGTAGCGAAATCTTACGATTTAATTTTAGAGGGAATCAGAAAGTTATTGAAAAGCTGTTTGATCTACATTAGAACAGATTCGTTTAAATGTTTATATATCTTATCAACAACAGCGTCTTTATCGAAAGTGATATTTAGCTTCCATATATTAAAACAGGAGAGATTTATGAAATGTGATTTATAACAGGAATTTTTGGATATCTCTGATGAACTAAGATAATAAATAAAAATAGAGAAGAATGATTTGATTCAAAATTAACTAGAAGTCTATCTTTTCTTAACAAAAACCTCTTTCGAAATCTCACCAAATAATAGTAATGAAAGGGATGAAATCTTAAAAGGATGTTTAAGTGGGATTATTCGTTCGATAATTGATATGAAGCCAAGCGAATAATTGCTTGAATCATTATTTCGAGGAGCCTGTCATATTTACAAATTGCACGAGGTAAGCAACAATAGAAAATAATTTGAAGTTTATTATTAAATAGATATGTTGTAATGGGAAATAATAAGCTATTTTAAGAATGACAAATTTTAAAATCTAGACGAAATACTTTTAGAAGTTCAGCAGGTACATGAAAACATAGTAAAAAATTCAAATTTATGGAAATATCATTATCTTTGGGTGTAGATGATTGGAAAAATCTTATAATTTAATCCTCTCATAACTAAAAAGAAATTATCTCAGCTAATAAATTCTTTCAACTTTGGATTAAAGCCAGATTAAATTTGGAACGAATATAAGAGAAAAGGATTATTAATTTAAATGAATCATAGAAATGACTAAGCAGTCATCTAACTTAATTAACTTTAAAATAGTTAATTAAGTTAAATGGATACATAAATATTAGAAGTCTTTTTCAAAGAATGGGAAATGTTTTTATTACTTAAAGATTTTCTCATAAATGAACAATATTTAAATAACTCATTTACGTTTGGATCATATCTAAAAAGCACATTAGTTATTGAAGGAAATGAACTCTAAAAAAGTGAAATTATATCTGCAATTAATAATATCAAGACGTTTTAAGACATTATGGTTTCCAAGAATTTGCTTACTTTAATTAAATAAAATGATGAGAATTTGGATGGAGTTATAAAAATTTTGAGTAATTTTATGAAAAATAAGCAATATAATGAAAGAACTACATTAAAAATTTCCTTATAACAACTCAAAAAAATCATATAAAAATTAGAAGACAATTTCATAAATACTTAGGATATCATAAAAATTATGAGTCTGAATTAAGGCAAATTGATAAAGAAAAGTGAAAATAAGAATTTTGAGGAAATTAATAAATTGTCAATTAAAAAAGAGCTATTAGAATTGTATATTCTTGAAGATCAAAATGTTAATGGAGAGGATGATACTATGAGAAATTTAATTTTTGAGGAGCTTAAAAATTTTGATTTCAAACCTTATAAATATTCTTTTCTTGAGTCACCTTATAAAAATAAAAGCAAAGTTGTTGGAGAAGTTTAAGAGTTGATCTAGATTTATCAGAAAGAAATTTACAAGTTAGAGATAAATGAGCTTCAAAATGACTTGTTGCAATATTTTTAGAATTTAGTTAATAACCTAGGTTAATTTTATAAAAACAAGTGTAAAGAAATTTAAAACACCTTTTCAGACTTCAATTTACACCTTAAGGAAACTATGATCATGATGTATTAATTTGAGGCAGTTCCAAAAATTGCTGAACTTAATAGAATTAAATAATGCTTTGCTGATAAGCACTTCCTTGAATTTGTAGAAAGCTTAAGGTTCAAAATTTTAATGCTAAAAATAAAATTGGTTGCTTCAAAGAAGTCTTTTTAATTGATATTAGAAAAAGGGGAACCAGAGAAATTAAAAGGATTGTCAAAACTCATAAACATTGATGAATTTTTGCTCAATGTAATTGAAGATTTTCCACAAAGAATTATGAGAGAAAATGTAAACTTAAACCTATTGCCTTCTGAATTATGCAACATTGAAACCACAGAAGAAATTTTTGAAGTTAATTTATCAAAGTAAAAAGGAATAATATAATACCTCATATTTAAATAGAGTATAAATAAAAAACTGATTGAAAAATTAGGGGAAGATTTAGATTTGATTGAAAAAGAATTTGGAGATATATGTATCACTGATTCTCCTTCCTAATAGTCTATGTTGAAAATTAAGAAAATTTGTTAAGATCTAGAACCAATAAGTTGATGAATCTTTGAATAAAGGTGAAGGATGACAAATTAAATTTAACGAGAAATGAAATTGGAAAAAGAAAAATATGAGAATTTTTTACCTCAATTAAAAAAAATTGAAGATTTTAGAAAATTTATATAGATCTAAAATTGGGATTAATTAATCCGAAAAACAGAAACAGTGATTCAAACATTGGAAAAGTTTGGATGCCCAGACAAGGAGATTATAAAAATGTTAATTAATGAAGAGCTAACCCAATTAAAAACTATAATATCCAAAATAAATTATGAAGTTTAGGAATCTTCAAAAGACTAGGTAAGAAGAGTAGTTATATAGGATGATAAATAAGTAGGAAAAAGTGAAAATGGAGTTTTCGCTAATTAAATTAGGAAAAAATTTAATTTTTCTAGCAATGAAAGCTAGAGAACTTACCTGTCATCCATTATGAAGGTAATAAAGTTAAAAAAATTAATACTGACAGAGGAGTTTGTGCTCTTACACAAATTACTTGAAGAAGTTGTTTTTTTTTCTGATACATTTAGATAAATTTAAGAGTATGAAAAAGAAATTTAAATCAAATTTTCATTCAGATTTTAATGTCGTATTTCAGAATTTATTTAAAAGTTTGAGTAATTATAATTTTCATAATTTAATTTATATTAGAAAGAGGATGAAAATTTTCATTTGTATTTGGTAGAAACCAAGTTATTTAAAAGTGTAAATGAAATAAAAATTAATGTTTTAGATTTTCTTAATTGCTTAGAATTTTATTTACATTAAAAAATTAGATTAAAAGGTAATTTTTCAAACATTTATATTGATTAGGATTTTTTAATCCAATAAATAAAAAAAATATACTTAGAGAAAGAGAGTGAAAAAGTAGATAGTGGGGATGAATAGACAGAATAATTTGGTTTATTAGATAATATGGTTCAAAGGTTCAAAGACTTTACAAATAATGAATAATGGAAAATTAAATAGGGTCTAGTTTTTACTATAATTTAGATTTCATCTAATTAATTTTCTGACTCGATGACTTCTTTTTGTTAGAAAGTCATAATCTAATTATGGGTTTAAGAAAAAGATCAAAGAGTTAGAAATATTTTAAAAAATTAAGGCTTGGTGAGCATGTAAATGTAGATATTGTAGAAAGATTGGTAGACTTAACAAGATAGAATTGAAGGTAAAATGTAGGAGATGTTGAGAAGAATTGATGAATTGTAGGAATAAATTTTTCATGAAGCTAATCTTAGTTAGCGAGATCATTATCTGAAAGAACTTGATGAGACAACGGAGCAATTAGATCAATAAATCCAAAATATCAGTGAAATGGGTTAATAGCTTAGACTTATAACTGACTTTGTAAATCATATTCGAAAAGGTTTAATTAGAGTCGAGGGGAAAATTAATGAAATGAAAGAATAACTCAAAAGTATTGGAAATGATGTTAAATTTTTGAGAGGAAAATCTGTTGAATAATTATTTGAAATTAGAAAATGGAAAGTATTGAAAAGAAGCCGCATTAAGGAATGTAAAATCCATTTATGTACCATTATAAACTAAGGAGATATCTCATAAAGGTGAAAAAGAAAGAAGATAAATTAAGTATTTTAATAAATTTAGAACAAATCGATGATGCAAATGGAGAAGTGAATGAGTTTTTATTAGAAGAGAACGAAACAGTGTTATTAATTCATGGGGTAGCTGGATCAGGTAAAAGTACAACAGCTAAGAAAATAGAGGAATTTGTTTGGAAATTACATACCAATAATAAAAAAATTAGAAATCAGATTCTCATACCTGTTTATATCTCCTTGCCCTCGTTAAAAAACCCTGTTTTTTAAGCAGTAGAGGAGACACTTCATTAGGATGAGTACGGCTTTGATGAACTTTAACTAAGAGAATGCAAAGAGATATTAGAAAAGAAAGAATTCAGATTGTTATTAATAATGGATAGTTATGATGAAATGAAACTAGAGAATATTTAGAAAAATTTATATATGAATAATAAAGTCAAATAGAATTGGTCAGACCCACTTGTTATTTTTACCACAAGAAGTGAAATTTTTACGAGCAGTAATTATACCTTTTGGTTTGCACCTGATAATAAAGAAAATTTAAAGGAAATTCAGCTTTAAAAATTTAACCCTAAATAAATTATGGAATACTTAAAAAAATTCACAATTTAAAGTGTTAAAATGCAGACTTTTGATATATATGAATGGTAAACATAAATTTCAAATCAAGGAGGATTGGATATCAATAATTTTGAAAAGAATTGGGAAAAATTGAAGGAATCATGTTTGAGCATAACAAATTTGAGTGG